TTATGTTTGACTAAGGTGGACAGAAACCAGCCCAGGGCTTGCACTCCCCGATTTTTGCATATAAATCCGAGCGCCCCAGCATTAGTAAAAAGAAGGAACATCTATTTTTTTTGCCATCACCACTTTTTATTTGTTCTACAGTACAAAGCGTATCGATGCTAATCTACTGAGCCGTTAAAAGCTTGTTTGACAGGACGGCATCTTACAAAGTTCTTATCACTGAACTAGAATGTATCCCATGGCTTTGATGTGTTTGTCTCCATTATCACCGCCATGCATTGCCACGTTTCCACAAATGATTTGTTTAGGTGATCCTATACCGAACCCGATTCTCGAGTCACAGGTGGTGCACGCGTTCTCGTTGTTACTAAGAATGCCAATTCTCGCCCTACGATAACTGTTGCACACGGCATTGAACCCTTCCTTGTTACAGTTGCGCTGTAAGGAGGCCTGTGAACCAATCAGCTTCTTCCACTTGTTACGACCCAGTGAGGTGGGGCGGTACTTCCCGTCAGCGATCAGTGAGTACAGAGAGTTGGCTGGCTTGTTGATGACGATGAACTTGGTCTGTTGGCCGATCTTCATACCGAGACAGATCTTGGAGAAGGGTGTGTTCCAGTAGGTCGGTAACTTGGTCTCTTGTAAGTCAAACCCAGTCTTGCCTCCTGGAAGGTTAAAATCCTTCTTGTCGGTCCAGTGCGGGGAATTGTTGTGGAAGGTTGACTGGATGAGAGGAAAGAAAAATAGGCAGAATGGAAACAAAATCATAGATTACTTAATTCCAAGTAACACACTATATAAACAATTGTCATCAATCCTATTCTTTCTCGTTTTCAGTCTTGGAAACTTAAGAGTTTTCATCGGCTTAGCTATTGTGGTATTCGAGCAAAATTATCATACAATCTTCTACAAATATGTTAAACGTACGCGCAAGATTTTGGGTCCTTTTTATTTTTTAGATCTCATTTGTGTTTTCTATATTTTGGGGGCGTTTTTAATAAAACAATTATTAGCTAATTACTCCACTCGCGCTTGTAGATCATTGTATGAGATCATTATAGCCAACTCGGGGGTACGCGCCTCATTGGCTATAAATCATCTGTCATATCCAACACGCACTCGTGAAATAATTGTTAAATGTACCTTGTTTCCGTCAATCTTCATGACTGGTGTCCATCCTCCTTCTCCACATCCAAAATCTCCCACGTGACAGAGAACAGAAATTGGTTTTGAGTCAAAGTGAAGAGTGACCAGCTGACTCACGTTGGATCTGTTAAATGATGAAAAAAATCTTAAAAGAGGCTACAGAAAATAAATTTAATTCTATTGAAACAACACTCCTTTTGTCTGTCTGTCTGTCTGTCTGT